GAGGCCAATCACAATGAATATTGATACATTGATCAGTTTGTACACAGAATGCCGTACATTTCAGCTGATGATCAGACAAACCTATACCCTATGCATATAGGTAAATTCCCAAGGAACTGCTACTTGCTACAGTCTTGTGCTTTCCCCAGAATCCATCGGCTTATTCTTCTGGACAGTTTCATGGAGCATCCAGCTGCACACAAAGTACTCTTGGCCTTTTTTTTTTTGCCTCCTAAATGCTGGAAAATTATTTCCAAACCTCCTTGTGGATATTCGGGTCAGGGATGAAGTGGGAATCTACAGGGGTTACTTTCTGGTTTCATGGGATATTTTCAAGCTTTCCAGAAGACGCTTTCTCTCCGAGTTTAATATTAACGTTATCTCCAGCACTCAAGATCCTTGAGGGCTGTCAGAAGGGATGTCGCTAAATTACCTCTCGGCCTCTGCAGTATCTCAGCACTTGATCGAGTTTTCCTTTATCGTCACGGAATCTGGAACACTGTTTGATTCGTTCACACGCTCACGACCTGAAGAATTCCCAAGAGGAGTGTAAACCAGAAGATGGAGCCCCAGCTGATAATTGTCATGTACATGTATGCATATCGCTGCGTCTTCCTCATTCCCCGCCCCCCCCACCTCCTTCCTCTATTTACATGTTGCACCCCGGCACTTCTCCCTCATGGTCGTAACCGTCTTATCAGTCCTACCCACTGCTCGCTGAAAAATCATGCAACGCCCAGTCAATTTGGGTAGACACTTGACACGGCGATAGGCTGGGGAATCCAGAATGTGCATGTGTAAATAAAGAACCCAGGATGCTAGACATTAAGCCTGAGTCACTTCAAGCAATGCATCATTTAGATGTACTCGTAGGAATGTTCATTCAATTAGTTAGAATACTTGGTGTGACTAGAAGATATTTGATCGTAAAAGCAGTAGAAATCCACCACCCTGTACGGTGTGACATCAAATGACATATGGTTCGGGACTGGGCTCAGTATGCTAATCCCGTTCAACCCAATCAGCATGAAGCCAGATGTGAACTGAATCTGCTTGCCCTGAAGAAGGTACTCAATTACCGAAAGCTCGGCAATCACATATTTCAGAGCACTGATTTGATATGATATTTTCGTCAATATTCTGATCACGGTGCTACGCAGCCCTTCCATATATCTCTGAAGCCAGATGCAGCCTGCTGACTGAAGTGTGACACCCTCATAGACCTTTTCACCAATATATTCTTAATTATGCATGCACGTGCACGAATGTCCTCGGCAGGAAGGGCCATTGAAAATAACAGGGGTGTGGTTTTTATAATTTTCTCTCAGGTTTTCTATCTGTGTTCATTTTTTTTTTCTTCAAAAAATCCCGTTAAATAATTTTTTTCTGTTACCTTCTAAGTTTAGCGGGATTTTTCCCACCCAGTCTCGTGTGCACAGAAATGATCAAGATTGTTAGGTTTTTTTACAGAGCGCTTAAAATCTTGCCTAGATTGGAAACTAAAAGCAAAAAACAATTTATTGGGATTTTCAGGAGGAAAAAATTGAACAAAGATAGAAAACCTGAGAGAAAAATGTTCAAAATCACACCCCTCTATGTTTTCAATGGCCCTTGCCCCCTAGGCCATTTGTGCGCATTCGTGTATAATTATGAATCTAAGGGTTTGAACAATAGGCAACATAGAACTCGTGAAGACTAGCCATCATTGCAGGGTGAGTTCGCCCAGTGGGCTCTCTGTGGAGTGGAAAGAAGAGGAATAGAATGTCTCAAATCGCTTTTCATTGTGATCAGCCAGAGTGTGACACAGAGACCCAGTGGAGTTAATCCAGGCCTGCTCAGTTCCATCCAAAGTCCCAATCCCCTCTGAGAGACGGGGTGGGCTCACCCCAGACGGTCTGGGAAAGGTTTCTTATTTGATGACACGCCCAAGCTCCTCCGATAACACCGTCACTTTTTGTTTCCTATACCGAACCTTTTTGAGTTGCCATCTCGTCTTATGTGTCTCACACACAACCGGTCGCCAATTTCTTAAAAGAGGACTGTACCATTATTGCCAAACAATTCAACTTTTTGACACACGATGCTGTAAAAAATCGTGTTTTTCCATTGACCTTGCTTGAGAAAAAACATTCAAAATTACAAAATACTTTCCTTATTTGG